TTTTGATTTCTAAAATCCACCTATAATCAAGAAAGGTTTGTTTTAGTTGCCTAGACATAGGTATGTATCTACTACTATCTTAGATACCCTCAAGTGTCCTGCCTGATCTCCATTTCCATATAGCCATGGGGTCTCCTGCAGGTGCTGTGTTGCAGTCACCAACCCTGTGAGACATGTCTCAAATTCTGTTTTGGCCATCTCAGGTAGTATGTGCTTAGGCAATTGAGTTAAATTTGGACTGTAGTCCCTGGAACCAGGAGATTCAGATTAATCTGACCAAAGATAGGTCTGTCTCCCACAGAGGGAGCTCAGCAGTTCTCCAGAGCCTGTTGGCTAAATTCGTGTTGACTTTCATGGGAACTGAACTGCTCAGGGAACTGAACTGCTCAGCTCACATTTTAGGAACCAAAATTTAAGCAAGCTGAATCCTAATGGGGACAGAATGAGAAAGGAAAAGGAGTAAGCAAATAAGAAATCTGATTGTAAAAATGAATCTGGTTCATTGAGATCAAAGTTTGTTTGCAAGGTTGATATTGTACAGTCTAGTTTTCTGCTTAATTTTCTTTTTCTTGGCTGTATTACCTTCCAGTCCAGAATTGTTTTCATTTATTACCATCCTTAGCTACCTAATTGTGCTGCTAATGAATACAAATAATCCAGGCATCAGGCTTTTACAGAACCACTTCAGTGTACAAATAATGGTTTGTTGTGTAACCGCTGATTATGGGAGAAGGTAGCTCACATTATGGAAAATCTGTGCTGAAATGTTGGTGAGGGGGAAAACACTGAATTCTATAGTCAGTCTTTCAAATTATGAAAATGTATTGTCATTTTTCTTCCATCAGGTTGTCTATGATGAGTAAATGTGAGACAGTCTTGAGCCCAGTTTTTAAACACATCCAGTTATATTTGGAACCTCAATTTCAAATTTTTGAGTGCTTGTATTAGCACTATAGCACATGAAATATGTAGTTGGCTACCAAATTGCCTATTCAAGTGCACATGTATGGGGTTTGAACACTCAACATTAAGCATCTGCATTTCAAAATTAGATCCCTTGTGCTTGAAAGCCTTGAAAATGCTGCTCTATGGTCAGCCTAGTGCAGCATCAATTGAAATGCAGTTGGAATGCAATATAGAGCTTCCAATTGCTGCTTCAGAAAGTGTTATGCTGAATCTGGAACACTTTGCATAATTTAATTAATTATGCCACTAAAACCTGATTTTCTCTCAATTTAAAGCAAACAGCTTTTATGAGGGTGAACTGCAGCACCCAGGGATATCAGGTGTCCAAGCTTTTAATCCTATTACAAAGACTTGACAACCACTGATGGAAACTGGAAAAACATAAGCCTCCAGCAGGGCAACAAGTGAAGAGGAAGAAGGCAACAGATTTTTAATACTCTTTGAAACCACTGTATGCATTAAATCAAAATCAACTGGAAAAAGTGACAGAGCTGGTAGCTTGCACTTAGTTGTTCAGATGGTGGGTAGTGTCTAAGGAATAACACTTATTTTGCTTTGACATTAATGAAAATAACTGTTTCCTCTAAGAGAAAAATTGTTCCGCTTAACTAACGTAAGAAAAACACAGCAAATGGCCAAGACTATTTGTATCTGTGTCTGTCCACTTAACGTGTTCAGGAGTGCAACAGCCTATAGTTTGAAAGTGGTTTCTAATGTTACGGATTGGATTCAGTCTATGAATCATTTTCCTTGTAAACAAATATTGACAGACGATGCCAGACTACAAGTATTAAAGAATCTGTCACTGACTAAACACTAGCCTCAATACTTCGCTTTCTGAAGCTTGTCTTCTCTCTTCCAATTTATTATTGGGTTTGATATCACTCTAAAACAATAGACACTAATTTTGAGGCAGAAGGGAGTACTGATTTAGAACAGCTCTAATTTCTGAGCTGCATAAGCAGTTCTGTAATTGGCAATCTATGACTGACCATGTGAAATTCTGTGACCAGGTTAAGAAGAGTCACAGGAGAATTGACTCCATCTACATATCGAACATCAGTATGTAACATGAAATTAACTGTACTGTAGAAGATTTTGCTAATAAATAGGGAAAATATCTTATTACTGGGAATGCAAAATTCTTTCTTGCTTATAATATTAACAAATATTAATATAATTACTAATATATTAATGTATTATATTGATTCCTATATATATGACATATGGATGTCATGTTTTGATGGGAAAGCGCAAAACAATAAGCGTAAAGAATTTGTAAAATGGTGACCTTGTTAAGAATACTATTTACATGTAAATTAGAGAATATTGCTCCAAGTCTGAAATACGTTTTAGAATCATAGCCTTTTCTATCTTTGTTTTTTTATAAAGAACAACAACAAAAAAATAGTCCAAAAATGAATTTTCAGTGGATGGGGAAGGTGGGAGAGTTTGTACCTACAAAACCAAGCCTAGATTAATCTTACTTAAGCCATCTCAGGTCTAAACCATTTGTAAAGTCTTCTTCTGCAGTTACTGCACAGATGAAGGCATGGCCAGAGGCCATTCATTCCATTTGTCTCTTGTGGTCTTTCCCTCTTCATTTCATTTGGGCATTTCCTGATCACCAGGCAGTGCTGACTTCATCCAAATCGCCGTGCAGTCAGGCTTGTGCTGAACTAGCCAACGTGGAGGGCCTTTGCTGCCTTCATGTTGGCCACAGCAGGACAGACAGTACCACATCCAGCATGAAACTAGAGCAAGGTGGACAAGCAGTGTGTGCTCCACTACAAGATCAGCCAGAACAGAATTCTCTCTTTGACTTTTCTTAATGGATGCAAAAATCAAGATTGAGCTTGTCCCTGCTTAGGATTTGACATTGTGTAGTCAGGTTTTTGGTGGCTGTTTTTTAATAAAGCCCTAAGTACCATAAAACCAGCTTTATTATTTTATGGACATATGCCCTAAGACAGGATGAATGACCATTTGGAACTACCTGTTTTCTTCTATTGAATCTGCATCAACACCTACATTGTGTCTAAATATAAATGAGATTAACTTACTTTTTGTGTTCAACTCTTATTTCCAGTGTCATATTTTTTAATGGAGTAACATTTAAAATTAATGAAATGTATATGTCACAGTGGCAAAAAGTAGAAAATTGGAGAAAAGAAAATCAGAAGGAAAAAAATATTTTTCCAGCTAAGATTTAGCTCCTTCAGTTACATATTTGTTTGAAAGTAGGTTCCTGGGTTTTTGAGAGTCTCTAATTTCTCTAAATAAAAGAAAACACGTTCACTTATCAGAGGTGATGAGATTCAAATCATGTATTAACCAGCTCAACTATGTGTACCGCATAAAGGTTACAACAATTTCTTGTAAAATAATAAAAGTATCTCATATAATTGATTCTTTTCATTGTTTCATAAAATTGCTTTGTTTGATTGCGAGAGAGTTTGGACTGAATTTTCATTACCTACTTCTGAACAATTTACACTGGGACTGAGACAGTATCGAGCTAATGAGTTAGAATTTATATTGAGCCTTAACTGTCTTCATGAAGTAACT